ACAGAATCGGAAACAGGCTCCAGGCTCCGAGCCATCAGCTCAGAACCTGACGCGGGGCTCGAACTCACGGACCGCGAGATCGTGACCTGGCTGAAGTCCGACGCTTAACCGACGGCGCCACCCAGGCGCCCCAACTGGTTTCTTCTTAAACCCATTTTTCTCTCCAGCATCTAAGCCAAGTCACACCACGTAAGCAGTCGTGTTCACCTGTGCACAGTGTCCAGGCCGGCGTGTGTGCACACGGGACCATTGGAACTGGACTCAGTCTCCTGGCTGCCACTGAGGAAGAGGCTGTGTTTACTGACGATGGTTAAGACAGCTAAATCGGTCATTTCTAGGGTTCACCTTCCTTAGCAACTGGCTTTTCCTGTCTGTCTGGGAAATGTTTCTGGCTCTGCCGAGTTACATTTCCATTTTGGAGGACGATGGCTCTGACAGCCACAGAATACAGGGAAGTCAGAGCTTATCCAGGAAGGTTTCCTTGGGTGGAGCGTGTGGTCTTGTTTGATCTGTTCACTGCACGCAGCAGTAGTTGGAGAAGCAGAAGGGACAGTGTGATGGGCAAATGTGTTCCCGCTGTCCCTCCTGCTGGGAGGGCTCTGCCGGGCCCTTCACGTGGCCGCTGTCGGGATCTACAGCGCTGCCTCGCGTGGAGGCCGTGGGCCGGCCTCCTTCTGCCTGCACTCGCCTTGCCGTGTGTCCCTCCTTGTGTTCCTCCGTGCGACCCAGGGAGTGTGCTGTGGCCCAGTGCTGCCTGGGACCACGCTGCCCGGGACAGTCCCTGCCCTTTCATACTGAGACAAAGGCTGTTTGAAAACCAGCAACAAAAACAGCCCGTATTTTGGGCTTGTTACTTCGTCCGGCCTATTTGTGATGATGAACGCCACAGTCGAGAAGCAGCGGCCCCAAGGTGGCTTTGAGAGAACCCGATCACGCCCTGTGCCGCCATGTAACCCACGATAGAGACACACGGCAGGCCACACAGGCCGTGCCACTTCCAGGGCCCACGGTTAAGGCGCAAAGAGATAGAGGAAATTATTTAACCCAGTGCATCCAAGATACTGTCGTGTTGCACAGCATTAACAAGTAATCAGTATAAAAACTAATCATTTTTTACCTGACAAAAATTATTACTGAGATATTTTGTATTGTTTTGGTGCTAAATTTTGAAGCCACATCTTGGTTCGGACCAGCCATGTGCTCGGGAGTTGTGTGTGGCCCGTGGCCCCATGTTGAACAGCACGGGCCTGAGTGCTTGACTGCGGGGGTCCAGGACCTGGAAGGGTGGATCCTCACAGTTCCAGAGTGGGGACCTCACGGGGCTGGGTTGCTCTTGGCACGTTGGAGCACCAACCAGGATCACATTCGGGAGAGCAGCAGAACCCTCGCGGTATTCAGATAACATGGTGGGTGTTCGCTGGAAACTGAGAAGAGATAAAAATATAGTTCCAGAGTTCTGGCGACTTCTCTCGCGGTTCGGGAGGCCCGACACACACACGGACTTGGTAGGAGCAGCGTCAGGGAGAAGAAGAGGAAGTCCATACAGGACGTGCCTCTTGATGTTGTTTGAGGCCTGGGCAGGTGACTTCCCGGGCGGCCAGCTGCTGTTTCCCACCTGGAAAGTCAGAAAAAGCCCCGGTGACTGGTTTACCTGCTGGCTGGCATCCATTGCCCCTTAGAATAAAGTTGCTGGCGGGTGGGTGATGAGCACAGTTTCACTTTAGAAATCCAGATCGGGTCCCGGGTGTTCTGTGTCCATCCAGCTTCTCCGTGACATGTGGCCGACAGCGTAGCCGGAGGAGATCGCTTACGTCCCCCGTCACGTCAGACACTCGGTGCCGAGGCCCAGATCCCGCGGGGATGCGGCTCCAGGGTAGCGCACACCGAGGGGCGCCCCCCAGAGCTTGGCCTTGGGGCCGAGCCCTCCTCTCCTGTCACCTGCAGGTGTCTTAACTGGTTTCCAACTTTTAGCAGCCCTTTGTGATCTTAGGACAGGTTGTCTCAGGTAAGAGGTCAATATGAGTTTGTACGGATTGTACTAGAAATAATTTGTTCAACGTATGTGAAGAAAAACGGACTTTTTCCTGTGGCTAAGAATGGCGCTGGAAACTCTGTACTCGACAGCCTTTCTTACTCCTTTGAGAATGTCTGTGACTCCAGATTTATTCCATGCTGTTTCCAGGCAGGTTAGCGGTACAGCCCGCGGAATCTTGGTGTCCACTGGTCAGCCTTGATTTCCTCTGGAGGTGTGGGTTCTGTGCCTTTCCCCGTAAGGATGGGGAAGGAAATGGGCCAGGGCCACAAACGGGGTCAACACACAGCAGGCGGCCTTTTGTGCGTCAAGACTGTCGCTTCCCTAGCTAGTTAGTATCTCTAGGTGTCGTCTCTAAAGTTTTTCTTTTTGGGATATTTATCCAAGTGTAGTGATTCTACCAGGTGGCGTAGGGGTTCCTGTACAACCTTGTTTTACTGTTCAGTTTGAAAACCTGTAGTGAGCATCTCCATGTTGAGGGGCTGCGTGCGGCGTGGCCCAGGTGAGCCACACGGCACCACCTCGAGACCGCAGGCTCTGCCAGCCTCCGTGGCTCGCCTTTCCCTGCACGTCTGGCACGGACCTGGCGCGTTGTAGGTGCTCAGTCGACGGCTGGGTGGGTGGCATGGATGGTGGATACGTCTCGCGTGGGACCGTTTCCTAATCTAGGCAAGGAGGTCTCCACCCTGACGTGGAAGAGACTCCGGTGTGCAGCGTGCCCTTTGAGCGCCGCACGCGCGTGTGAGCCTGTGTGCTCGGGGCGCCGTGTACAGGAAAGCTTGAGCAAGCAAGCGAGTGAGCTCCACGCCCACGTTCACAGAGCTTCCCTCCTTCGTGCAGACTTCGTGAAGAGGCGTCGGCTCTAAAATCGGGCTGGGATGCCCAGGTCGCCCAGCTGTCCAAGGACCTGATCTCCAAGGACCTTCGGATTCAGGCGCTGCAGGAAGAGGCAGTGGAGCTCAAGGCACAGCTGGCCAGGTGCCAGCAGGACGTCGGAAGGTGACTGCCCCCGGGGACGTTCCCGAGATGCTCTTCTCACTGCGCGCCCCGTGGGGGCCGGGTGCCATTCTCGGTGCTGAGGGTACAGGAGGGAACGGAGTCGAGGCCCTGGCCTCACATCCGATTGTGGGGAAAAGGCGAGAAACAGGACAGAGAAGGGGAGTGTCTGGTTGTGAGAAGGGAGAGCCAGCAGGATGGGCTGATGGGGGGCGGCCAGCGGAGGCCTTTCCCCGGAGGTGGTGTCGCGTCTGGAGCCGGTGCCGCGGCAGCTCTCCTGCCCCGTCCTGTGTGGGGAAGCACCTCTTCGTGTGTCCTGTCCCACCCCCGTCTCCTCTCATCCAGTGGATGAACGCCGGAGTGAGGGTCACGTTCTCTTTCTTGAGGAATAACTTAGATGTGAGGAAACTCGTTTCGGCCGTGCGGTTGGAGTCCTGACCAGCATGAACACCTGTCAAGCAGGCCTGTAGTCAGGACCCGAAACCTTCCCGCCGTCCAGCATGTCCTCACGCCTCGCGGCCGCCGCCCACCTGCGCCGGCCCCGCCGCTGCGCGTCCCTTCTGCCCCTCCCGCGATTCCGTCTCAACGGAGTCATGCAGCATCTGGCTTCCCGTGGTATTTATTTGGACATTTATTGCAGGTTTTCTGTTCTGTCTCAGTTTGGGGAATTGGTGTCTTTCAGTGAGTTTGCCCATCTCGTCGAATGGTTGACTTCAGTGGCATAAAATCGTGTATCGTATTTGTGTGTTTCGTCTCTGACGTGTGCAGAATCTGCGGTAACGTCCACTCTTGTTCTGGATCCGTCTGGCTGGAGGCGTATCAGTTGTATCGGTCTTTTCTTTAAGTCTGTTTCTTTTGAGAGAGAGCACGAAAGGGGGAGGAGGGGCAGGGAGAGAGGGGAGACGGGGAATCCCGAGCAGGCTCCACACTGACAGCACAGAGCCCGACATGGGGCTTGAACTCACGAACCATGAGATCATGACGTGAGCCGAGGTCAAGAGTCGGACGCTCAACCACCCAGGCGCCCCAGTCACGAAGTCTTTTATTAACGCATTTGCATTTAGGATTGTTATGGCTTCTTTTATTTATTTTATTTTATCTTATTTTACTGATGTAAGTGATCTCTGCACCCAGCGTGGGGCTCAAACTCCTGACCCCGATATCAGGAGCTGCACGCTTTTCTGACTGAGCCAGCCAGGCGTCCTGGGTTGCTGTGGCTTCTTGGTGACTGCCCCTCGATTAGCAGGACGCAGCTGTCTTTATTCTGGATAGTCCTCCTCCTTGCTTGTCTGCTGTGTCTGATGTCAGCACGGCCACTTGGGTGCTTCCTGCCTGGTGTTTGCGTGCACACCCTTCCACGCACTGACTCTGACTTGTGCTGAGGTCAAGTGCATTTCTTACCGATCGCGCGTGCTGTGTCTTGCTTTTCCTGTCTCCCCTGACAGCTCTGCCCGTTCACTGGACCGTTTAGATCATTTAATTTAATGCCAGGATTGATGTGTTTGGGTTTAAATCGCCAACCTGCAGTTGGTTTTGTATTTTCCTCGTATTTTTTGTTCCTTAATTTCTCTGCCTTTTAAAAACTCAGTCGAGCGGGTGCCTGGCTGGCTCAGTTGTTTAAACGTCCAGCTCTCGGTTTCAGCTCAGGTCGTGATCTCACAGTTTGTGAGTTTAAGCCCCGCATCAGGCTCTGAGCTGATAGTGGGGAGCTGGCTTGGGAGTCTGTCTCTCCCTCTCTCTCTGCCCCTCCCCTGTTCATTCCTTCCTCTCTCTCTCTCTCTCTCAAAAATAAACAAATAAATTTAAAAATAAATAAATAAATGGATAAACAGTTGAGTGTTTTTTAGGATTCCATTTTATTTCCACCGTTGTCTTACATAAACTTTTTTATTTATGTCATGGTTGTTTTAAGATTCACAGAATGCATAGTTTGCCGTTAATAACGTCTAGCTCTTTGTACGTAATATAAAATCCTTACAACCTCCTGTTTCTCTTCACTCTCCTTTGCTGTTGTCGAACATTTTACTTTTGTGTACATATATAGTTACGTTGTTTTTGTTGCTTTGATCCGATAATGTCTTTTAATTAAAGACAAAAATTGAAAGAAAAGCTTTATGCTTTTTCCAATATTTATTTCTGATGGCTTTTCATTTTTTAAAAATCAAATTTAGGGGCACCTGGGTGGCTCAGTAGTTTAAGTGTCTGACTCTTGGTTTCGTCTCAGGTCACGATCTTGTGGTTTGTGAGTTTGAGCCCCACTTTGGGCTCTCTGCTGACAGCACAGAGCCTGCTTGGGATTCTCTCTCTCTCTCTCTCTCTCTCTCTCTCTCTCTGTCTGTCTCTGTCTCTGTCTCTGTCTCTCTCTCTGCCCCTCCCCTGCTCACGTGCTCTCTCTCAAAAATAAAAAATTTTTAAAAATTAAAAAAAAAACAGTGAAATTAGAGAAAAGTCAAGTTCAAAGTTTCCATAAGGTGTAATCTTTCTTCAGCCCCCAGACGTCCTTTGACGCCCCTCCCAGCGCAGCCTTGCACTCAGCCCGTTTGTCCGAATTTCTTTGCCTTCTCTTTCTGAAGCGTGTTATTACTCGATGGAAAATTCCAGGCTGGTGGTGTTTTCTTCCCGTAGAAGACGACTTGTTCTCTCCCGGCACTCGTTGTTTCTCAGGAGGGTTCCGCAGGCACCCTTTGTTTCTCCACATGTGTTGTGCCTTTTCCTCCTGATTCGTGTTTTTCCCTTCATCGTTGGTTTGTGGTGATTTGATTGTTCGTGTATGTAGGTGAGGTTCTGCGTGCGTCGCCTGCCGCGGTTTCCACCGGCCTTTCTCTGCTTGCCCCCTTTCTCCTGGGAGTCCCAGGTGCCCATGCGTTAGCATCCCCTTGGTCAGCGGCCTTTCTCGCTGCCGTGTGTGATCGGCCCACTGAGGCTGAGGAGTTTTCATTTTCACCTTTCTCCGTCTTACGTGTGTGGTTGCTTTCTGTCCCCGATCATACTCACGACGCGGTCCCATCCCTCTTGTTTCCGGGCCGTTCTCGCTTCCTTGCGCCTCTCGCCAGGCCCGCTGGTCGGATGCGGTGCCCTTGTGCGGAGAGCTTCGGGGCTTGTCTGCTTCCTCCCGCCCGCACTGCCTTCTGTTCCGGCCGCAGCCGGTGGCGGCACAGAGCCTGCACACGGCGCCCTCAGGTCCCGACCGTCGGGGCCCGCGGCTGCTTCTGCAAGGCCGGCAGGAGCCCCCCCTGCAGCGGGCAGGACGGGGTCTTCCAGGGCCTCACTAAACAGGGGCCGCCTGTCCCCCGCACTCACGACCCGGTCACACTCGGGAGACGTGTGCAGAGGCCCCCACCGCGCGGTGGGCGAGAAGTCCAGGGCCGGGCTGGCGCTCGCTCTCTCACCCTCAAATTTGCTCCCCCCCCCCCCAGGGCCCACTGCACACGGCGTGCGCTGCCCCGTTCCAGCCCAAGGACGCGCGTGCCCCCATGGCGCCGGGTTTGCTCCTGTGTCCCCTCCGCTGGGACCTCTGCAGACCCGCGTTCTGTGGACGTGGGGCTGCTGGCTTTCGGGGGTCTCTCTCTCTGGCCTTGCGACTCCGTGTGCTCTGTGCTGCACACGCCCCCGAGCTCTCCAGGGTCGCTCTCCGCAGCTCCAAGACCCTCGCACCTTCTCCAGTGGAAGCAGCTTTCGTGCTTTTCCTCAAGTTTGTTCATTTCTTCCCTTCTCTTTCTTGGTTCTTCTCTTTCTTGAGGTTGATCTTCCGTGGTGCTGGTCTCCTCGGTTCCCGGGCGTCCCTGCTGTCTGCCCGGCTCTGACCCCGAGGCTGCCCGTAGACTCCACTTATCCTCCGTGTCTACACGGCAGAGACTCGTCCCGGCTGCCGTGCCGTGAGACCGTCGCGTGTCAGCAAGCGCGGGCCAACACGGGCTGGCCCAGCGGGGGCCCGGGAGGGACCCGAGTGCGGGCGGTGGTGCCTCCCCGCGCTCTGCCACCTGCCACACACCTTTGCTTTTCGCGTGCGACGGGACGGGCCTCAGGAGGACGTCGGCGTCCCCGCAGGTATAAGCAGCAGCTGCTGGCGGCGGCGGAGCGGGAACAGTGCCTGCAACGCGACAAGGTGCAGCTGGAGCTGGACTGGCGACACCGCTGTGACAGTCGCGAGAGGGACCACTACCGCGCGTCTGAGGACTTGCTGCAGGCTCTGACTGCCGCTCGGGACCAGGTCTGTGCCCCGCGTGGCCCTCGCACTCCCTCCTGCGCTGTGGCACCAGTGGGGGGGGGGGGGGGGGGGGAGGCGGCTCTGGGCTCGCGAACCCCGCCGAGCAGTTTGACTTACAACAAAAATTCAGCGGGAGGTGTCCCTGTCCTGCCCACCAGCCTTTTACCCATTTGTTTCTTTTCGAGAGAGTGAATGCACGTGAGCAGGGAACGGGCAGAGAGAGAGAGAGAGAGACAGAATCCTAAGTAGGCTCCAGGCTCTGAGCTGTCAGCTCAGAGCCCAACACGAGGCTCAAACCCACAAACCATGTGATCGTGACCTGAGCTGAAATCAAGTCAGTCGCTCAACAGACTAAGCCACCCAGGCACCCCCGGCTGTTTTATTTTTTATTGCGTTAGCCTGTTTCCCATTAAGAAAACAGTGCCAGGAGAATCCCTGCCCCCTGTGCACAGGGGACCGGGCGGAAAGGGCCGCACCCCGAGCCTGATGCTGCCGCCCGGCCAGCCCCGACCGCCACCTGGTCCTGGGCCGGGGGGGCCCCTCCCTCATGCGCCTGCTCTCTACTCCCGGGAGTCTCATAACTCTTCCGACACGAACCGACTCCCACATGTCTCCCCAGGTTGCTGCCAAGCTCCAGGAGACAGAGCGGACGCTGTGTGACCAGGAGGTGGTGCTGAAGGCCTTGACCCTTGAGAGAGACCAGGCCGTGCAGGCGTTGAGGACACGCGGGCTTCTTCCTGAGAAGGAGGTGCGGGTCGGCACGGCCGCCCCCCGCCCTGAGCCTCCCCCGGGGATGCCGCTCCCCAGCCCTCTCCTGTGCCTCCCCCGCCCCCCCAGCCGTGGTGGTGGGAGAGCGGTCCCAGCGGCACCAAGTCTCCTCAGGTGTCGGCACAACGGCGGCCAGTCTGACACCTGAAGGAGCTGAGGTGACTCTGGACTCAGAGTCCAGATTTCAAGCGGACCCCACGTTGAAATCTCAGACCCCGCCTTCAGACATCACACCACGCAGACGCCTAGCGTGAGGTCGTGTTTTATCCGCGGAGCTGTCGCGGCAGGTCGCCGTGTGCCGCCATCTCCGCCATCTGGGTGCTGCCCGAGTGCCTCTCTGTGCCAGGTCTGCCCGAGAGCCTCGTCTGTGGCCCTGGGTCCTCTGACGCTAAGGCCGGTGCCGCAGCCCCAGAGACGCAGGGACCCCGCATAACAGTTTGCAAGGAGCGGAGCTGGGCTGTGAGCCCGGATGCCCGAGGGCCATGGTCGGGGGGCAGGGGCAGCCTGAGGCTGGGGCGGCGAGAGCAGGAGGGGCTGGTAGGGGGAGACTCCTCCAGGCCTGTGAAGAGTTCTTGTTTCTTGCTTTATATGCAGCGAAATGCACAGACCTTCAGGGCACAGGTCAGTGAGTTTGACGTGAAGGACCCATGGGCCCAGCCCTCCAACAAAATGCAGAGCATGTCTGTCACCCTGGAAAGTTGGCCGCACCCCTTCCTGTTGGCCCCCTGCTCGCCCCAAAGGCAGCAGCTGCTTGGACTTCTAGCTGGTCATAGGGACCCGGGTGGGCAAGGTTTGCTCTAAGATGATGCAGTGGCCACATGTCTGCAGACCCGGCTTCTGACCGGTGTTAAGATGTTGGTAATTTGGGGCACCTGGCTGGCTCAGTCGGTGGAGGGTGCAGCTCTTGACCTCAGGGTCATGAGTTCGAACCCCACACTGGGTACAGAGATCACTAAAGCAAAAGGGTATCAGTAACTTGTCCTGACCTGTGTGCAGAAGCCAGAACCTCTACTTGTCTCAAGGGTTTTAGGTTCTAGCACAGAGTCAGAGGGGACATTTGATGATTCTGTCATGGTCACTCGTGAGAATTGTCAGAACGCAGGAAACGGATCCCGTGTCTGTGTGGGCATCTGGGCAGGAGCCTCTGCCCCAGAGAGAACGTGGTGCTGGAGGCGGAGGTTTCTTCAGTCCTCGGCATCACAGGGTGGGAAGGCCCGTGGGGAAGGATCAGTGGGTGGCGGGGACACCGGTGTCCTTCCTGCCACGTCGCTGGCCCCAGAGCCAGATCACTTCCTCATTTTAAAAGTTGTAAATAAGGCTTCCTGTCCTGCTAGCTTTGTCGGTTTTGGTGCTGACTTTGGAGAATTCAGCGTGTCATCAGACCTCCAGGAGGATATCTCAGGGTGCAGCAAAGGGCTCTTTTGTGACTGAAGCCTGGGTCTCTCCGGGGAGGGCAGAACTAACAGGTTAGACTTTATCCCAGAGACACGCAGCTTCACCCGTGGTGTCTGAGCCACCTGACATACAGCCGTGGCCGTTTTCTCCCCACACAGATCTCACTGACGGATAGCTGGCCAGCGCCTGACGCTGACTGAGATGCCTGTGGCTTGCATGGTGGCCCCGAAGGGACAGGCTCCAGTCCTAGCCGCCAGCTCTTTGAGGTGCAACCTTACTTGGAAATAGGGTCTGTGTGGATGTAACCAGTGCAGACGAGGTCACGCTGGAGCAGGGTGGGCCCTAATCCAATATGACCGGCCTCCTTATAAAAAGAACACCACGTGGAAGACCGAGTCGCAGGGAGAGGGCCACGCGCCGACAGAGGCAGAGGTGGGAGTGACGTGGCCCCAAACCAAGGGACACCAAGGTTCTCTGGTAAACACTAGAAGCTGGAGGAGGGAGGAAGGAGTCTCACCAGAGTCTCTGAGGTTTGCTCCCAGCCTGAGGCGTGTGTCCCGCAGCGAACCCCGAGCCCCGGCCCGTCGTGGGGCTCGCCTCGGGGCCCCTGAGGGAAGCCGTGTCACCAGGCTGCTGGGAGGTCTGGGAAAAGCCCACATGGGAAGGTGCCGGCCTGACCCCGCCTCAGACCCCATCCTCCTGGTCCCAGGGCCCTTTGTTCAGTAGTCTGACCTCCATCCCTTCATGAAAAGCCACTCGGCCAGTTGTGCCGGGTGACGGAGCTTTGGAAGTGCTTGGGAAGACCTTCCCAGTGGGGCAGCCTCTCCCACCCGCCGTGTCAGCCTGGGGCGGGGGCGCATGCAGACCGGGCCCCTTCTTGCACCGGGGGCACGTGGGCCAGGCCAAGGGTGCACAGCGCGCAGCTCCTGTCCTCGCTGGCAGTGGCCTGTGCTGGTTGCGGAGTGGCGGTGGGGTGGGGGGGAACCCGGGGCCTCTGGCTGCGCCCTCCGAGGATGGCACTCAGCCCGCGGTTGGTGTTCGAGGCGGGCTGGGCGCCGGGAGTCCCGCCGAGAAGGTTGTAGCCCGCCAGCCACGCCGAGAAAACACTTCACTCCTGTCCACAAACCCGCACGCATTTGACCCCGTGTCGGGGGCCGGGAGCCGAGGCAGGCGGGGGGACGCGGCAGGACGCGCCCCAGGGCTGTGTGCAGGCGCCAGCTGGCGTGCCACCGCGGTCTCATGGCCGGGACCGGGGGTCGGGCTGACACGGTGGGATGAGCCTCGGATGCGAGCCCTGCAGGAGGCGGGGCGCCTGTGCTCCCGCTTCGTGGGTGTCAGCACGTTGGTGCCGAGGCTGCCTCGCAGGCGTAGAGGCGGGTCCTGGGCAAATACGAGGTCAGGGACAGCGGGCGGGGTCTCTAAGGAAAAGTCGGGGGGATGAGCCGTCAGGTCCCCGCTGTGCAGCCCGGCTGCGTCTTACCTGTGTGGCGGCCCCTTCCCACTGGCACCGCTCGGCACGGAGGTGCGCGTGGGGCCTCAGCGGGGACCGCATCAGTCACGCCCCCGGTGGTAATCCCAGGCTCCAGAGGGCAGGCCCTCCCCGTGCAGAGCTGCAGGGGAGAGAACGCAGCCCGGGCCACGGAGGCTCCGGCGCCATGCGACATCACAGGTGAGGTCGTGCCTCCTGGGGCTGGCTGGGCTGCCCGGGGGTTTTGGGGCTGATGCTGTCATTTCACTTCATAGACGAGGAAGCCAAGGCCCTGTGAGGGTGGTCCCTGCCCCACGTGTGGCAGAGGGGACGTTTGAGCGGGGCCAGGCCAGCTCCGGGGCCGTCGGGTTCTGCCGTCGTGCCCGCGAGGGAGCAGCTGTGAGGTTTTGCCCAGCAGCAGGTGCGGAATGCAGTGGCGGGCATGAGAGCAGGAAAACAGGTCGCCCCTCCTGTCAGCAGTGTGAGCGGTGAGTGGGGGGGCGGAGGAGTCGGGGCTGGAAGGCAGGGCAGGTGCAGAGCAGAGCCCGCGAAGGCCTCGATGCCTCGACAAGGGGTGTGGGAAAGCTGGGTCCGCGCTCAGTAGAAGAGCTAGCTTCCTTCTGGAAGGAGAGGGAACGTGTGGCCACTGCGGGCATTCGACAATTTCAGTTTAGGGGAGTGGCCTTGGGGACCAGGTGGAGCCGGGGTCCAGCTCGGCTCCAGTGTGGCCTCCGTGGCGCTTTTGTGAGACGCGAGCGAGTGCCTGGAGCAGGGTGGCGGGTTGAGCAGGTGGCGGCAGCACGGACAGCGTGGTGGCCGGGTCACCCCTCGTTAACTCGAGCGTCAGTTCCTGCATCTGATGCGGGCTCTTTGTGAAGCATTAAAGGGGGCCTGTGACCCAGCACCTGGCCCGCTGCTGGCACCAGCTGGGGGAGCCTGCTCGCGGGGCGTGGGAGGCGTGTTACCACTCCTGAGGACACGGAGGTCGCACATGGTCGCACCGTGCTGGCATTCTGGTGTTTTCTTTTTTATTTTTTTTATTAAAAAAATTATTTTTAATGTTTATTCATTTTTGAAAGAGACAGAGCATCAGCAGGGGAGGGACAGAGAGAGAGGGACACACAGAATCCAAAGCAAGCTCTAAGCTCTGAGCTGTCAGCACAGAGCCCAACGCGGGGCTCAAACTCACGAACTGTGAGATCATGACCTGAGCCGAAGTCGGTCGCTCAACCGACTGAGCCACCCAGGCACCCCTCTGGTGTTTTCCTAGTTACTGCTCTGTCTGGATCTCGGTATGTGTCCCTGTGCACGTGCTGTTTCTGTATAGTCTGTGTTGTGCTGTATAACTGGGATTCCTTTTTTTCATTTCTCCAATCATTATGTTTCATGTCATTGTAATTCTTCAAGACACTTCGCAAATGGTTGTGTATTTTACCATGTGGCCCTCCTCTTCCCAGCGGCTGCTGAGGTGACTGGCACCTGTCACCCTAAGGCTGCACAGGCACGTGGGTGCCTCCCTCTGAGCTCGGTAGCAGCTCACCTTCTTGGGTAGCGGGGTGCGACAGGGCTGGCCAGAGCCCTCCTGGTGCAAGCAGAGGGGGGCCAGCCACCAGCCGGAGAGTGAGGAACTACCGTGTGTGTGTGTGTGTGCGTGCGTGCGCGCGCGCGCATGGCACCCTGGGGCGGCCCACCTGCCTGCTCGCAGGGTCAGCGACAGCAGGCAGGGGGAGGGGTTGCAGGGGAGGAGCCAGCGCTGTCTGTGGGAGGGGGGCCCTGCAGGGAGGAGGCTCTGTCTGGGTGGGGGGGGGGTCCCTGCAGGGGAGGAAGCGGGCGCGGTCTGTAAGTGCGCATCCCTGAAGGTGGGGGCCCTGCCTGGGCTCATGCAGGCCAGGCCAGGCCGCAGGTCTCAGTTACCTGCCCCCTTGTGTCGGGCACCCCGGTCCTGTGCTGGCATGGTGGCAGACGCTGGCTTCCTGGAACTTGTCTGATTCTCTGGTTGTTGGCAGCCAGAAGCATGTTCCGCTGCGGTGAATCCTGGTGGTCAAAGGTAGTGGCCTGTCTCGCTGTCATTTGGAAGGACACAGGCACTGACTGTAGGATTCCGAGGCGGTAGGGCTTTTTCCTTCCTGTGTCTCTGGGCTCCCGGTGGCTCTTGTGAGAAGTTGGCAGAAACCTCGTATTTGCACCTGTGCACGCCACCTAATATGCTGTGTTCCTCGGATTGCTTTTCTGGTCCTTTTTTCTCTTTATCTGTGATTTTTTAGCAAGTTGATTATGATGTACTTTTTGGTACGATTTTCTTTGTGTTTAGTTTGCTTTGGGTTTCAGTGGACGTCTTGGATCTGTGGACTTGTTTTCATCAAATTTGAAAATATTTTGGCCAGGGGCACCTGGATGTTTCCGTCGGTCAAGTGTCCGACTTTGGCTCAGGTCATGATCTCATGGATCATGGGTTCGAGCTGAACGTCAGCCTCTGTGCTGGCTGCTCGGAGCCTGGAGCCTGCTTCAGATTCTGTGCCTCCCTCTCTCTGTCCCTCCCCTGCTTGCTCTCTGTCACATGCTTTCTCTCTCCTTCAAAAATAAATAAACGTTGAAAATATTTTGGCCAATATGTCCTCTGCCTCCTGTATCTGGGTTCTTGGGTCCTTGCCCTGAGCCGGCTCCATGCTGTTCTCAGGGTCACCAGGCCTCTGTTGACTCTCTTTTTGGCCTTCCCCTCTGCTTGGCTGAATGCTTTCTGTTGCTGTGTATCTGCACTCACTGACCCTTTCTTCTGTGACGTCTGGTCTTAGGCCGCCTCTCTAGTGAATTTTTTTTTTAATTTTTTTTTAATGTTTATTTATTTTTGAGACAGAGACAGAGCATGAATGGGGGAGGGTCAGAGAGAGAGGGAGACACAGAATCTGAAGCAGGCTCCAGGCTCTGAGCTGTCAGCACAGAGCCCGACGCGGGGCTCAAACTCACGGACCGCGAGATCATGATCTGAGCCGAAGTCGGACGCTTAACTGACTGAGCCACCCAGGTGCCCCATGAATTTTTTTTTTTTTAAGTTTATTTACTTAGAGCATGAGCAAGGGAGGGGCAAAGAGAGAGACGGAGAGAGAGAGAGAATCCCAAACAGGCTCCACCTCGTCAGTGCAGAGCCTGACACGGGGCTTGAACCCACAAACGGTGAGATCGTGACCTGAGTCGAAATCAAGAGTCAGATGCTTAGCTGACTGAGCCCCTCAGGGGCCCCTCCAGTGAATTTCTTATTTCAAATAATATCTTTCTCATCTCTGCAGAGGCCGTTGGGTTCTTGTCAAATTATCTTCTGTTCCTCTTCCTTTCACATTCCTGTTTTTCTTCAAATCCTTGAGCATATGTATACCTACAACCGTATCGAAGTCGTGGGCACCACTGGGAGCATCTTCACGGCTGGTCTGTGTTGTAGCACGCGCTAGACTTCATTCCTGTGTGGCTTCGTACTCTCTGTTGTGTCACGTCTTTAATTCATCCACGCGTCCGTCCATCGGTGGACATTTGCGTTTGCGCGCCCCGGCTGCTGTGAAGACTGCTGCCGTGAACGTGCGTGTACGCGTTTTCACGTGGACATACGTTTTCGGTTCTCTGGGCATACGCCTCGAAGTGGAATTGCTGGGTCGTATAATCACCTCTGCGCTTAATCTCTCGAGGACCGCCAGGCGATTTTCCGCGGCGGCGCCCCGTCTTTCACCCACAGGCCGCCGCATCCGTTCACCTTCCCGGCGGGCAAGGGTCCCACGTCGTCTGTCTCCCTGCCGGCACTTGTTCCTGTGTCTTTTCCACGGCAGCCGCCCTGTGGGTGGCCGACGGCTTTTCGACTGAAAGGGAAGGGGCCCCCGATTTCTCAGGAAGCGCTCCCGGTGGCGAGCAGCAGTCTTGTCTTTGTGACACCTGGAAGGAGGGGGCTTTCATCGCCCCGTCAGTCTAGATGGAAGGTCCCCACAGCCTGGAGGGTAGACGGGTGGGCAGAGCCGTGGACGGGCAGCAAACCGTGGGTTTTTTCTTTTTTTCTTAAGGGACTTTCTTTTTTTACGTTTATCCATATATTTTGGGGGGGGGGCAGCAGAGGCCGGGGGGGGAGAGAATCCCAAGCAGAGCCAACCAGGCGTGCCTGTGGGCCTCTTCTGTAGCTGTAACCATTTTCTTTCTTTTTGTGTTTGACAGGTGCTCCTAAGGCATCGTGAAGAAGAAGTAAGTGAAAGTTTTCCATCTAGTGAGATCCAGAGGCTCCAGGAGCAAAACGCAAGCTTACGACGTGCTGTTGCGGAGATGAGGGAGGAAATGGAGACCCTGAACGAACAGGTTCTTCCTCCTGAGCAGTCAGGGGGTCAGCCCTCTGACCCCGCACAGCCCCTTCCAAAGGCAGCAGCTGAGGCCGCGGCTCCTGGTGAGCCAGGGGGGGCCGGGGGGGGGGGGCGGAGAAGGGGGAGGGGACAGATCTCCAGTGGGTCCAAAACATGCTTCACTTGGAGTCTCATAGATGAACATCCGCTCTGACGAATTCAGAGTATGATAGAGGCTTCTCCTCCAAGGGAAGGGATCTTATGTCCATGTTTATATGTAGAACAGCAACTTTTTATCGATAAAGTGGCAGAAAGAAGGGAAGGATGTGTACTTGGCACTTGGAGCCTGGAGGCCACTTGCATGGGGAGGGGAGTGGGCACTGTGTTCTCCAAGAGACGGGCTGTGCAGGCTGGCGGATACCAGGCCTCTCCTCGGGGCCTGTGCCGTAACGGAGCTGGGCTCCCCCCCCCCACCCCTCCTGTGCACCGTTAAGAGGGGCCCCGGAGCGGTCCTGAGCGGAGGGCACCAGCTCACGACTCCACGCCTGAGACTCGTGCTTCCGTGTACACAGGCTCGTGGGTCTGAGGGAGCGCAGGGGCGTAGCCGTCCTCGGAGCGCGCCCGGCACCAGAGGGGAGGGGGGCACCGGGGCCAGGGCAGGTGTGGGAGGCGGGGCGGGGGGAAGAGTGGGACAGCGGGAGGGAGCCCCTATCTTGTGACGGGCGAGGGGAGTGTAACGCGTGTGCCGGTGTATTTATTGGGTTGTTTTGCGGCAGATTACATCATGGTCCTCGAAACAGAAATCAGAAATCTGAAGCATAAATTTAAAACCCTGGAAGGACAGGTAGAAGATGTGTTAGATCCTTCGAAGATGTCCTCATCTCACTCTGACGTTCAAGCCAGCGTCCACATCTTGGCCGAAGTGCCTGGTAAGAGTCCTTGTCTTGTCCTGTTGAATGCTTTGTTCCAGAAACACTCTGGTTTCTGCATCTGTTTTACATTGGTTTAATTGAAATATAAACTCCCAGAAAGTCCACAAAATGCAAACGCACGCATCAAGGAAAGATCGCAAACTACAGGTCCCCCCCCCCACCTTTCCCGGCACCCAGGAGCCCCCATGCCACCCATTCTCAAAGTGTTTACACTCGTTTACCTCTCCGGGTGGGCACCTCCCTGCCCTACCCCTGCTCTGGCGCCACGCAGACACCCCCTTGCCCGGCTGGGCGCTGGCCCGGTGGAGAGCCCTTCTAGGGGGATGGACGCATCCCACCGGCTGGTTTCTGGGGCTGACTGTGTAGGAAGACAGGTGAAGGAGTGGGATGCTCCACCTACGGATCAGCTCGTCTCCAGCCAGGGGCCTGCTTGCATTCCCAGTGCTGGCATCTTTTATGTCTTTTCCTTATATTACTTTTCCAGGTCAGAATCTCCAGTATGGTGTTGGTAATGGCTGACTTTCTTCCTGACTCCAGAGAAAACGTTCAACATTTGACTTTAAAGCCGCTAAAGGTTTTTTGGAGCACAGGGCCAGATTAAGGAAGTTCCTTTCTATTCCTGCTGTAATACATGGTTGTTTTTTATCATGCTTCTGCCAGTTTTTGCTTACTGTGTTTTGGAGCTTTGTTGTTGGTTGCATACACGTTTAGAGTTTCTGTGTTTGTAAGAGGGGACCGGCCCTGATAGCACCACGTAATGATCCTCTTTACCTGTTAGGGGTGCAGTGCTCTAAAGCCTGCTCTGTCTAGTGTTAATCACATCACTCCAGCTTCCTTTTGATTAGAGTCTGCTTGGTGTATCTTTATAATCCTTTAACTTTTAACTCCTTATGTTGTGGTAAAGTCCCCTTCCTAAGGAAAAATCAAATACCTCAAGGTAACCTGGCTATGTGTGTACATGACAACATCCCTCATGACCTTGTAACATGAGACCACTTAATCAGAGTGCATGTTTGCATGTTACCATATGTGGGAGACAAAGAAGTAGAAAATATGTAAAAACTATGCCACGTGGCATTCAGGGGCTCATTTCTTCGGGTACAAACCCAACTGAACGGTGCTAGCACAAATAAAGTTGCTTCCCGGAAAGAAAACCTGGGTGTCAGACTCTCTGTGTGAGAATCTTGCTACAGCATCACATTTGAAATGAATTTCTTGTAGCAGCATATAGGCAGGTCAATTTTTAAAATCCATTTTGCGGGGCGCCTGGGTGGCACAGTCGGTTAAGCGTCCGACTTCAGCCAGGTCACGATCTCGCGGTCCGTGAGTTTGAGCCCCGCGTCAGGCTCTGGGCTGATGGCTCGGAGCCTGGAGCCTGTTTCCGATTCTGTGTCTCCCTCTCTCTCTGCCCCTCCCCCGTTCATGCCATGTCTCTCTCTGTCCCAAAAATAAATAAACGTTGAAAAAAAAAATTAAAAAAAAAATAATAAAATCCATTTTGCTAATTACAAAAATTTTTTTTCAGTTACGGTTTTCATTTTTTTAATGTTTATTTTGAGAGAGTGCATACATGCAGGGAAGAGGCAGAGAGAGAGAATCCCAAGCACACTTCATGCTGTCAGCACATAGCCTGATGCGGGGCTCGATCTCCCGAGCCGTGAGGTCGTGACTTGAGCTGAAATCTAGAGTCAGACGCTCAACTGACTGAACCACCCAGACAGCCCCATTTTGCTAATTTTTTTTCTCGTTTGCTAATATTTTTAACTGATAAGATTTATATCATCCACACTTAACAGTTATTGTCGTGTTGATCTGAGCAGCCGCTTCCTGCCCGCTTTCTGGCCCAGGTGTCTTCTTTCCTGTGCCTGTGGGTCATCCGAACATTGTTTGTGTTCCATTTTAATGTATGTGTTGTTTCTGAGTGTATCTGTCTGGGCCCCGGGGATCACAGTACGGCCATGTGACCTCTCGCAGCCACCTCCCGTCAGCACCATCCTCCTGCCGTCAGGCCCCGTCCCCACGTTGCTGTCGTAAACGTCACCTCTCCTATGTGGGGAATTGCTTCAGTCAGGATTAGCATTCTTGCTTTTAATTGTCAAACATAATTTTGTTTATTTATTTATTTATTTACTTATTATTTTTTAATGTTTATTTTTGAGAGAGAGAGAGAAAGAGCTACAGAATGCAAGCCAAGGAGGGGCAGAGAGAGAGAGGGACACAGAATCTGAAGCAGGCTCCAGGCTCCAAGCTGTCAGCACAGAGCCCGATGTGGGGCTTGAACCCACCAGCTGTGAGATCATGACCTGAGCTAAAGTTGGACACTCAACCGACTGAGCCACCCAGGTGTCCCAAATTGTCAAACATAATTTTAAAAAACTCAAGAGGAGGGGCGCCTGGGTGGCTGTCGGTTAAGCGTCTGACTTCGGCTCAGATCATGATCTCATGGTTTGTGGGTTCAAGCCCCCCATTGGGCTCTGTGCTGACAGCTCAGGGCCTGGCCCTGTGTCTGATTCTGTGTCTCCCTCTCTCTGCCCCTCTCCTCTGCTCTCACACTGTCTCTCTCTCTCCCCCTCTCTCCCCCCCTCTCTCAAAACTAAATAAGTATTGGGGCACCTGGGTGGCTGTCGGTTAAGTGTTCGACTTCAGCTCAGGTCATGATCTCATGGTTCGTGAGTTCGAGCCCCGCATTGGGCTCTGTGCTGACAGCTCAGAGCCTAGAGCCTGCTTCAGATTCTGTGTCCCCCTTTCTCTCTGCCCTCCCTTGCTTGCATGCTCTCTCTCTTTCAAAATAAAGAGTGAAAGCATGCAAGCAAGGGAGCAAAGTTATTTTATAAAAAAATAAATATATTAAAAAAAAAAAAAAACCAAGGTAGAGTCTGTGACGTTCACCTGGGCGTTTGCCCTTTGTGTGTGTCCTTGAGTCCCGAGGTTCCAGCCTCCCTGTCATCAGCTCTTACGGCAGATGTGCTGATAACAAGCTCTCTGGTTTTCCTTTTTCACCTGTGTCCCTGCAGAATTTATTCTTTGGTCTGAAAGTAGGAGTTGACGGTTCTCAGCTCTCAACCCTTAAGATAATCGTGCCACTTCCTGCTGAGAAGCCTTCTACTGCCCAAACCTTTGTCTCCCACAAGCCACACACCTGTTCTGTCCACCAGCTTTCAAGAGTCTGTCATTCGTGCCCGAAGTCTGACGACGATGTGTCTGGGCACATGCTTCTTTGGCCTATCCTGTTTGGCATTGAATCTAAGGTGATTGTCTGTTGCCAAATTCGGGACGTTTTCAACCATCATTTCTTCAAGCGTTTTTTCGGCTCTATGCTCTTTTTTCCCGTAGGGACTCCGCTGACAAAAATGCTAGCTTTTTCTGTTCTTTTCCTGAGGGTCCCTGTGGCTCTGTTCCTTTTTCCAGTGCGTTTTCTCTGCTCTTCAGGCAGGTGATCCCTGCGTCTGTCCCCATGCTCGCCAGGCCCGTGTCCTCTCAGCGCTGCTCTGAGCCCACTGGGGGGACTTTTATTTCGATTTCAGTTCAAGATTTCCGTTTTGTTTTCTTTGTACCTTTTATTCCTCTAAAACTTTTCTTTTTGCACCGTTTTAACAGTGAGTCAGCTCGCACGGTTCCTCATCCGGCCTGCTTATTCCACGACCCCGTGATCCCGACGTCTGTGTCCCCCTCAGCGTTGTCTTTTCTCATTGTGTCGAGATCTTCCTGGTTATCGGCGTGATGAGTAACTTCAGACTCTGGTGCTCGGGCCCTCCGACCCTTACCACGCTGGTTTTGCTCCACTTCTGTGTTAGCAGGCCCCCCACCTCTCTGGGGCACAGGGCACGTCTGTATCCCGGCCCACTCTCTTGGGCTGGCTCTGAAGGACCGCTTACTCTCCAGAGTCTTTGCCCTGCTGTTCTGCCGTCCTGCACGGGCGCCGCCCGAGCCCAGTTAAGTCCTGGGCGGGTTCCCTGGCCCCACGGAGCTCAGCTCTGAAAGCTTTGGCTGTCCGGATGCTGCCTGGTTTCCACGCGGGCCCCTCAGGGACTCTGTGGGCAGACTGAAGGAATTCCTTTCTCTCGCTCCCCCTCTCTGCAATCCTCCCCACATGCTCTTCCCAGGCCGCGTGGTGCAGGGTGGGCCCTTGTCTGTATGGGCCGCACCAGCGGAGTCTCCCTCGTCTGGGCTCCTGGTGCTTCCGGCTTGTGGCCGCTCTGGCCCCGAAGCCCGGAAACACAGGAAGGAAGATCAGGAACCCGCGGCAGCGCGCCCCCCTGAGCCCCCGCCCCTCGCCCCCCTGCTCCTTGCCCTCCCCCGCCCCTGGCCCCGGGCCCCGCCCCCGCCCGCTGGGCACCCTCAGAGTCGCTTTGGGCTTCCAGCTTCCAGGAAGGAGAGGGACAGGGCACGCGCTCATGGTCTTGTCCAAACAGCAGGCTTGCGCTGGGTTTTGAGTGTTGAACAGACTTAAAGTTCTGCAATGGACCCAACATGTGATACATCCCTGTACCGATGTTGTTTTGAGAATTAACACGTTTATGTTCATGAGCGAGGCTGGTTTGTACTCTCTCTTAGGGTGCTCGTTGTCAAATTTGGGGATCGCGGTTATTCTGGCCTCAAATATATTGGAAGATGTTCCCTATTTCTCTGCTTTCTGAAAAAGTTTGTGTCAGACTGACGTCAGTTTTTCCTGAACCATTAACAGATTTCAACTCTGAACCCCCTGGTTTAGGATTTTCCTCGTGGGAAGGTTTTAAAGTGTGAATTCAGTTTTTTTCAGTTAAAAGATGATCCAGATTTTCTTTTTGGCATGCCACTTTTTGATATTTTATTAGAAAATCATCCGGTTCATCTAAGGTTCTGAAAATTTGGCATAAAATTGCCTGTAATATTGTCCTAAAAGTTTTAAAAGCCTGTAGGATCTAAAGTAATAACTGTGTTTTCATCGATTGCGTTGTTTCTGTTGACTTTTTTTTTCTTCCTTAGTGTTACCAGGAATTTATCTTTAAAGAAAAAAAATTTTTTTTAACGTTTATTTATTTTTGAGACAGAGAGAGACAGAGCATGAACAGGGGAAGGTCAGAGAGAGAGGGAGACACAGAATCCGAAACAGGCTCCAGGCTCCGAGCCGTCAGCACAGAGCCCGACGCAGGGCTCGAACTCACGGACCGCGAGATCGTGACCTGAGCCGAAGTCGGCCGCTCAACCGACTGAGCCACCCAGGCGCCCCAGGAACTTATCTTTTTAAAAAGCCTTTTCAAGGAGCTAGCTCCATTACACATTTATTTTCTGTTTTCTCAGTATGTAGTATTACCTTTATTCTTTCCTTTCTTCTACTTTATTTAGTTGGCCTTCTTGTTTTTGAAATGGCTATTCAGCTCATTGACTTTTCACCCTTCTTTTCTAAAAAAAGCTACTATGGCCATAAATATTTTCTTAAATTTTTTTTAAATGTTTTTATCTATTTTTGAGACAGAGACAGAGCATGAGCAGGGGAGGGACAGAGAGAGAGGGAGACACAGAATCCGAAGCAGGCTCCAGGCTCTGAGTTGTCAGCACAGAGCCTGACGCAGGGCTTGAACTCACAGACTGTGAGATCATGACCTGAGCCGAAGTCGGACGCACAACCGACGGAGCGACCTGGGCGCCCCTGGCCATAAACATTTTTAAAACATTTTTTTTTTTTCAACATTTATTTTTGGGATAGAGAGAGACAGAGCATGAACGGGGGAGGGGCAGAGAGAGAGGGAGACACAGAATCGGAAACAGGCTCCAGGCTCCGAGCCATCAGCCCAGAGCCCGACGCGGGGCTCGAACTCACGGACCGCGAGATCGTGACCTGGCTGAAGTCGGACGCTTAACCGACTGCGCCACCCAGGCGCCCCTATAAACATTTTTAAAAGGACAGTTTTCAATCCCTTCATTAAGTTTTGGTAAGTGTTGTATTAATGATAACTCAGGCCAAAATAATTTCTTACCTCTACTGATTCTTTCTTTGACCTCTGGGTTGTAGGAACATTTTTTCTAATTCCCAGATGACTAGGAGGTTGGTAAAGACTGGCCTCCGCAGACATTAGGTGGTAAGCTTCCACTGTTTTCCTGCAAAGATTCTTGCTTTCTCGATACTAGGGTTATACTTCACCTGTCGCCAGTGCCTCTCAGTTTGTGTTGGGACCACGTGCCTTCCACTCAGTCCTAGGGAATCTTCACTTCCAGGTGGACACACGGTGACAGTAAGCGTCCCCAGCCCTGGATGGCACAGACGTCTACTCCCCAAAGAGGGCAGTTGACCGGAACCTTCCCCAAGGGAAGGAGACCTGAACCTGACAGAATCCCTCTTTCTGCAGGAGGAGCCGTGCCGGCCGATGGCACACCCATGGGTCTAGCGCTCGGGAGGCTCAGAAACAGGACACATCTCCTGAACTTCCTGGTGGCCCGGCTCAGGCGGAAGGTATGGCCTCCCCTTTGACACTTGGGCTGGGCAGGTCTTTGGCTGGACCTCTTGGCCTCTCTGTGCCTCAGTTTCCCTCCCAGGAAGGGGTTATTGTGAGGTAACATGTCCCCAGCAAGGTGCACACAGTAAGGCCCGGTCACCGAGAGGAAAGTCCAGAGGCGCAGCGCCCACGGTGGGGCCCACGCAGGACTGCTGCCCCCTCGGGACACGCCAGAGCGCGTGGGGGTGCCCTGATGTGGCGCGAGACGCCTCGGAGGCCCAGCCCTTTCAGTCAGGCTGGCCGCCACCCACTGTTTCCTGGGACGCAAGTTCTGCCCTGTCACACGTGTTGCCAGGGTCACAGCCGTGCTTTATTGCTACAAATTCATAATTTCTCTTTTTTTAGAGTTTTTTTTTTTTTTTATCGTGGTGAAATATACATAAAGTGTACAATTTTCAAGCGTACGTTCAGTGACGTTAACTACATTCACAACGTGTATAAACATCACCACTGTCCATTCCCAGAACTTTTTCGTTATCCAAACAGAAAACGTCCCCATCGAACACTGACCCCACATCCCTTCCCCCGGGGACGTCTGCCCTGCCTCCGGGAGCTGGACGACTCTCCCGTGAGCGGGGTCTGCGGAATCTGCCCTCGCGTGACTGGCTCATTTCCCTCGGCCTCATGTCTTCGCGGCTCACCCACGGGCAGTAGCGTAAACCAGTGCTCATGCCTTCTGGGGACGGAGTGATAAACCACTGTGTTTCCCACACCGTCCGTCCTCCGATGGACACTTGGCTGCTCCCACGCTTGGCACTTGTGGAGAACGCTGCTGTGAACACGGTGTCCCAGCATCTGTTCAAGCCCCTGCTTTCAATTCTCTGGGGTACGCGTGTAGGAGTGGAATTGCTGGGTCGATGGTGACTCTGAAGAACCACCGAGCTGTTTTCATGAGCGGCTACACCGTTTGGTGTCCCTCTGGCTGCGTGTGAGGACTCCGGCGGCCCACGTCCTGGTTCCCACCACCTATTTTCTGTCTTTTCGACTCTAGCCGATCCAGTGGGGCGAAATGATACCTCACAGTGGTTTTGATTTGCATTTTTCCTGATGGCTAATGATGCGGAGCATCTTTTCATAGAGTTATTGGCCATTTGTGTGCATTCTTTGGAAAAATGTCTCTTCAAATCCTTTGCCCATTTGTAATTGGATTGTCTTTTTTATCGTTGGGTTCGAAGAGTCCTTCGTGTACATTGGATACTAGTCCCTTATCAGATGTCCAGTTTGTAAATTTTTCCTCCCGTTTTCAGGCTTGTCTTTTCACTTTCTTGACAGTGTCCTTTGAAGCACAGGTTTTTAGTTTTTATGATTCCTGGTTTTGTCTGCGTTTTCTTCCTGCTTATGCTTTTGGTGTCGGGCCGCCCTGTCGCCTTCTGTGTGGATATGTTCTTCGTGAGGCAACAGAAAGAGGGAATTTCACACGGTCCTTGGAGTCCATGAATACGTGAATCACACCACCTTGTATATTCAGACGGACCTCCGTACGCACGCGAGGGGAGGGGGCTCGGGACGCTCTGGACTTGCTGCCTCCCGTTCTGCCCACTGCTGCAGTTTCACACACAGGCGTGCACACGCTTTACAAACAGGAAATAAGCATTTAAAGCTTTAATTTTGTTTTGATAGAGAGCATATGATTATTGTGAGGAAAAATGTCCACTTCAAAGTGGTTTTTGTTTCTATTTTCATTAACAGCGTCTATCCAACGGTCACCTTTTTGGATGCGTATGTGACAAATTCAAAGAATAAGATACTCACCAGGACTTCACTGTAGGAGTTCCTGGAATAGGAACACAATATTTTTTATCTTCCTGAGAATAAAGTGGGAAAGTCAGAGTGTAGAGAGGTGCCATTCTGTCCGTTGGTTCCTTTTTCCTTCCTTGTATCAGCAGGAGGACAGATGTTGTCCAGAGAAGCTGCCGAAGTGAGGGGCTGGGCCCGGAGCTCTGGCCAGAGACCCACTTTGGGGACCTCACGGCTGCCCTGTGGCGACCAAAGCTGCCGCGCACGCCTGGCACTCCCCTTCTTCACCTTCCGTGCACTCCTGCCTTCTGTCTGCTCCCCAGTTGTCAGTCACCTCCTCTCGACAGCCTTGGCTTCACCCCCCCCCCCCCCCCCTCCCCCTCCCAGGCCCCGGATTGCCTGCAGGTGTTTGTTTCCACCTGTACTAGGCTCAGGAAGAGGGTTTGAGGCCTCTGCCTCCGCCCCGGGCAGTTCCCGGCCTGGATGCTCCCCACCCAGCCTTGGAGTCCAATGCAGGCTCCGCCACAGGTGCCCGAGGCCACCCTGCAGGGGACGGGTGGGGCACAGGCCTGCCCGAGGCCACCCTGCAGGGGACGGGTGGGGCACAGGCCTGCGTGGCCACTGCGTTAAGCCAGAGAGGAGAGACTGACAAACGTGTTCCTTTCCGATCTTCGCATAGTTTCTGCTGTGCGCCTCTGCCCTTTTCCTGCTTCCCTGCCCTCTTGCCCTCTGGAGCTGGCACCCCTCCTAACGTTGCCCCTGAAACGGCCCCCCAGCTGCTGCAGAAACCCCTGGGCACGGACACCGTCCAGCACGAGCTGCCCCACGAGGTGGGCCAAGTGCACCTGGAGGCTTTGGAGCTGCAGAAGCAGGTGGCTGAGCTCGAGGAGCATATCGGGAGCCACTGGCGGTTACAAGCCTTGGACCAGGTGGCCCTTGCAAGGCAGGTGGGTACCCCGCCCCACTGTCCCCCTCTTCCAACTGGCCGCTCTCACAGTCGGGCCTGGTCCTCGGCAGACACAGTGCCGGAGGGGTGCGGCCCCACCTCAGGCCTCCGGGCCCTGGGACCCTCCACTTAAGGCCAGCGTAGGAAACCCGCACGTGTGAAGAGGGCTCTTCTGTTTCCCCTAAAAGGGAGTCCTTGACTCTTGCTAGGGCTTTGGGAAGCCCTGAAAGGAAATGCAAATTGGGGGTTTTCCTGGTGAGGATTTATCTCCCAGAGCGCTTGAGGCCACGGCCCCTACACACGTGACAGTGGGCCCCGTGTGGGTGTCACTGGGGTTCCCGTCATGGTCCCCGTCAGGCCCTCCGCAGCCAGTGCCCATCTGGCTCCATGTTTGAGGCAACGTTCCGAGCCGTGAGAGAGCCCTGCGGCCGCCGTCCCCGCAGATCTGACAGACCGGCCACTTTCCTTCTCACCGAAGGCTGTTGGAAATGCTGTTGAGAGCGCGCATTCCTTACTGTCCGTTACCTGGGGGGCCCGGGGTTCCCGCGGTTACCTGTGTTATATGGTGGCCCGCGGTCACGACTGTACCGTGGTACCAGAGCGCGCCCAGAGCTCCGGGCGCGGTGGTATAGGGCAACAGTCCTCATGTGTCCCAAGCTCGGTCCCAGGGGCGGCACTGACGGGCATGAGTGGGACTCAGCTCCGGGACCACGTCCGTCACCGTCACCAGAGGACTAGAGGGAAGGTGGGTCCACTCCCTGCTGGCGTGGAAGCGCCTGGACGCGCCTTGGGGCAGACAGCTGTGTGAGAAACGGCCCAGAGGGGAGGCGGGACACAGAAACACCACCCGGAGGGCCAGCCCTCCTGCCATCCCGGCCACGGGCCCCCTCACCCCGTGTCCACCGTTCATCTCCGATGCTGCCCATGCACGGCCCCGAGGTCGGCTGCGTGGGGGTTCCTATAATACCCCTCGCCTGCTTCGCGGATCCTGCTTGCTTAGGGGGAAGAGATCCTACAGATCAGCAGCATTTAAAATCCAGATGTTTAATTCTGTGGCAGGCAGGCTGGGGCTGAAGCATGTGTGACCTTGGGGAGAAATCGAGGCACAGGAAACCTAGGGCCGGTCCCGGTGCCCAGACGAGGGCCGTTCCCGGGAGCGCCAGCATCTTGGCGGCCCGGAGCCTTGAGCGCTCCCAGTGCCGAGATCCTGTTTCCGAGTGTCTCGCTCTGAGAGGAAGCAGGATAAGTGGTGGGCTCCACCACGGAGACCCGGAAACAGGGCGATGGGACTGGAGGACGCAGGCACCCAAGGGCCTCAGGCGCTGGCCACAGAAAAAGCAGGACTTGCAGCGTGGGGTCAAGGAGAGGGTGGAGGCGGGAGGCTGGTCCCCCAGATGCAGAGGGGCCGGTGCACCGGGCAGCCGTCCTGAAGCAGAAAGGAGAACGAGGCTGCGACGCAGCACCCATGACACCTCGGTTACAAAGGGAGAGGGCAGCTTTCCAGGGGAGCAGCCTGCAGACACTGCTTCCGAGGGGTGTGCTCCCATCGCAGACGCGGGGACAGACGGGTGTCCTGGGCTTCCGAGCCAGCCGCGCCCGGGGGTCACAGCCTGGCCGCAGACTGCAGCCACGAGCGACGCATTAAAACCGGCCTGTCAGGAGCCTTGCAGGGACCCAGGAGACAGCTGTCACGTGGGGCTCTGTGCCCAGGGCGGGAGAAACCAGCTGTGTGGGACATGACTGGACGGTTGGTGAGGTCTGCGCGTGGCCTGTGTATCAGGTCATAATGTTGCGTCCGGGGTAAACGTCGGTTGTTCGAAACCGTGGTTTGAAGACAACGTCCGTTTTGGGAGGCACGGACTGGAGCATCCAGGTGTCAGGGAGCCTGATGTCGCCAACTTAACTGTCGGCGGATCAGGGAGCAACCCGTAAGGTGAGGGGGCCGGTGGCAATGGAGCAGGGGGGTCGGTGCCGCCAGGGCACTGCCCTAGTAGCTCCCGTGCGAGTCTCACGTTCTCCCGGGTGGAGGCAGGTCCCACACCCCCCGGCCCAGGACAAGGGACCGTGCAGAGCTCAGTCACCCTCCCCAAGGGCAGCAGAGACCACTGCCCGCCCGGCACCTGCACATCCCTGCAGCTGTCCTGTCTCCGGTGACCCCCGGCCCGGGGGGGATTGACCCAGGCCCAGGGGTCTCCCTGCCAACCTTCCTCCCAGTCCTAACGACCCTCCAGCCCCGAGCACAACGGGAGGGATGCTCTGGGTCCACTGGGGGGCAGTGTTGGATGGCGGTCCTCCCCGCCGGCTCTGCCTGCAGCCTTGGCAACCCTCAGGAGAACCGTGGGAGCCAGCCGCCCCGGCCAGCGCCCCTCTGCACCCCGGGTCGGGGCTTGCTCTGACAGCCTCCCTAAGGGCTTCTCTGTGGAGCCCGGCGGCCGCTGCCCTTGGAACAGAGTCCCCACGGGGACGCCTCCCTGGCCAGGATGCTGGGAGCACACCCACAGGGCTGGCGTGAGGAGCCGCCTGGGCCCCAGCCCGCAGTCGCTCACGAGTCCCAGAATGTGTGGTCACAGGAGTCACTTCGTGGACGTGGGCAGAGCATAGAAAGAGATCAGAGCAGTTGGGTCAGAAACGGAACCCAGGACGGCCCCCGGCTGGGGGACAGGGCTGCAGAGCCCACTGCGCAGCCATGGGGGCTAGAGCTGGGCCACTTGCAAGTGTGGCCCCCCAGAACCTGGACACAGGCCCCCCGGTGAGGGCTCGACTCCGGGCTCTTGCAGGGGGCCGCCTTGCCGGCTGCAGGCCTGCTCCCGAAAGTCCGTTTTCCCTGAGGCCTCCGAGTAAGTGTCTTTTCAGGGCTGCTCTTTCCTCACGTAAAGTGGCTCAGGTGACTCCCAACACCGCGCTCCTGGGGAGGGCGCGCCCTGTCCTCCCTTCCTCCGGGTCTATCCCAGCTCCTCCAGAGACCCGAGGGCCCCACTCGTGTCCTGGGCCCTCGGGAGAAGGTCAGTGAGGCTGAGAGCAGGCCCGGGTCCCGCCACTGGGGAGAGGGTGTGGATTTGGGTGCTGGGGCCTCAGTGCCTCGGGCCGTCTCCCCGTCCCGACCTCTCTTCCTGCCGAACTAGCCTGGCACACTCCAGAGGCTTCCGGGCTGCCTGAGGAACAGTGGCCACTGGAGGGCACAGATGCCCGCCAGCCCTGGAGAGGAGCACCAGGAAACGAGGCCAGGACAGAGCGTGCTGGTCTGTTCCAGGGACTCCGGGCTGCTTCCCGCTCTGGCTCTGGCGTGTGTGGCCAGGACAGGGGCACAGTGCAGCTTTTCATGGGTGTAGGGAGCAGCCGTGCCTAAGTAGGCCACCTGCCTCCCTAGGGGCCTTGGACACCAGTTCCTTCTGGGCCTCTGTCTGGCTCAGAGGCAGCCCGCACACACGTTCTCCTCTTCCTCTCTCTCGTTCTCTACTCCCCGCCTCGTTCCGAACACCCCTCTGAGTGGACTGCATGCGTGTATCGGGGCCATGTGGTGACCCAACACAGGGACCCCACAGCACAGGGTCCAGACAGTAAGGAAGAGAGCAGAGGGAGGCCTCTGCCGGCTCCTCCACTCCAGGTGACCCCGGTGCCCATGACCTGTGCACCCAGCCTGTCACCCTGGTGCATACGCAGCCCTCGTGAGTCCCGGAGGCCGAGTGTGGGTGCCAGCTGGCTCCTCATTGTCCTTGCTGGAAAGGTACAGGCTCGGTGGGGGTCGCAAGAGGCCAGAGGCAGGCCTGGTCTCCACAGTCTGTGGTCTTCGTTCACCCCACTCATGGAAGAGGTGGCCTCCTGCATGTGGGGTCCCCGTTTCATTGTCAAGACTCGCTGGCCCTTCCTCTGTCTCATCCTGCAAGGATGTTCCCCAGGGGTGCGGGCTCTGGGGCGGCCAGCCTGCCCCTCTCCCACCTGGAGGGCTGGGCTTACAAGCTCTCTGCCTATGGCTTTGTTCACAGGCCCCTGCGGACCAAGGACCCAAGGGGACCAAAGACCAGAAGCCACAGCCCCCGCAGGTGTCGTCTGTGCCCCGACTCCAGAGGAAACTGAAGGAGGCGGCCCGAGAAATCGTCCGCCTCCGCCTGGAGAAGGAGCAGCTCCTGGAGACAGGAAACAGGCTCCGAGCGGAGCTGGGCCGCGGCCCAGGTGAGCGTGGGGTTGGCGGGTCGGGGGCCTCACAGACCTGCTCTCTCCTGGCCTGCCGCCCGGAAGGGGGGAAGCTTTGCCGCCCTGCGGCGAGAACGGGCCGGGGGAGGGCCTGGCCTGGCTTCTCAGGCGGGAGAACAGAAGCCTCCCTTGTGGAGTGAAGCTGGGGTCAGGGGTCACGGGCACAGAGCAGAGCTTCACGCTGCCACGGGGTTTCCACGAACCGGTTCCTGTGGCAGCACTTGTGAGAAAAATACTGCAAAGCGGGCGGCCTTTCTGGGCCACCGTGTTCCTGGGCCGGCTGTGCTGGGCTTCTCCGAGTGACGGCCGCTGTGTCTGCACTGCGACCCGGGCCCAGCTGCCTACAGGTGTCTGAGAGGATGCTGGGTTCCAAGACCCACAGGCAGTGCTGAAACCGGGCTGGAAAGAGACGTGCCCTTGTTCCAGCCTGCGGCACGGGCCCCGGCAGCCACTGTGAGTTCTGTGAGCTCACAGAACCCCGGGGCTTCGCTTGCAGCCGGCGAGACTCAGACTGATACCGCTTTGGCGAGAATTTATTAGATGTGGGTTCACTGCAGGACTTCATTTATCGTAGTGGCATTTCACAAGCCACAGCGTACGGGATAAGGTCTTTGAACAAACCAGTAAGGAAATCATATGCTCCGAGCCAATGGTAGACTAACGGCACGTCGTTCCAGGCGAGGGAAGACGGCCGGCACGGCCCGGATTTAGCTGCCAGCCTATAAAGCGCCACCATAGAGTGGTACCTGGTGGCCCATAGCACTCTGCTGTCTCCTGGACCTGTGGCTGTCCTCGTTTTCTGAGGCCTTCATGTGAGCAGTGGTGCGATATTCAGTCCACACTGCCCTCTCCCCATCGTCTGTGCACTATTACCTATGCTCATCTTCGCAGCAACCGTAAGCACGGAGAAAGGCTTCCCTAAACAAGGCTAAAAAGTAAACTACCCCATAGGCGGGGGAAGGCAAAGATCAACCGCTGTGACGGTACATTTAAACGTCTGTAAGGAAAAGACGCAGCGAACACAGACAAAGGGAGATGTTTTCGACGTGTCTGACGGGCGGAAAGGATCGATACCTAAAACAGGTGTCTACAGATCACACGCAAGGGCCCAGATGGCCAGTCCCAGGAGAAGTGCACGTAGCTGATGAGGGTGCGGGTGACACGTGGCCTCAGGAGTCTGAGGAAGCCACTGAAGTCAGCATTGAGTCTGAACCTCAGATTGAGCAGTGTCACTTGGCAGTGAGGAGCACGGGGCACGTGTGTGTCGGTGGGGGTCTTCGTCGTTGAAACCTTTTGGACAACTTGACTGCGTCTGTCTCTTTCTACCATTCTGCCCTTTGAATCGGCAATCCTTCTCTTAAAAATCTAATTAAAAGATACTTCACGGGGGAAAAGGATGTATGTGCAGGATATTCTCAGCAGCGCTTTCGCTGTGGTGAGAAAGTAATTGGGAATAGGGCAGACCCCGGAGTCCAGAGCTTGGGGCGCTGCTGGGCTCCCTGCAGGTCACCCCCACCGGGTGCTGCCTCCACCCGCAACTCGAACCAGGTGGGGCGGAGAGCTGGCTTTTCCGCCGTTCGACTCCGGTCCTTTGCGGGTGATGCTTTGGCAAATACAATAAAAAGGTGGCGGTGCCAGGTCACCCCCAAAGCTCCTAACGCTTATTCTCATCGTGGGCCCGGTGTCGTCTGTGCACCACCGGGCCAACTGACCCCTCTTGGGCAGATGCCACCTGGACAAGCCGTTTGCGGACAGAAGCCACCGCCGGAGAGCGTGTCTGTGTCAGCAGGCGGGCACACGGGAGACGGTGTGTGCGCGTGCGTGTGACTGTGCACGCACATAGACGGAGGGCTGTGAAGAAACATGTCCGTTTCTCTGCGGTTTGGGGAGGAAGCTACCGAATGAGATTTTGGGACTTTTCTCTGAATACTTCTGTATTGTTTGCAATCTGCAGCTATACCAAACGCTCTCAGTTTGCTTCCTTCTGGGAAGGCCATCTTCCCCCAAACCATGTGGGTGGTGGGGTTTCTGCTCTCCCACAGGCGTGCTTGGACCTCATGGCAAAGGCTTTAGGCGAGACTGGTCTGTCTGCATTTATTTTATAGAGATGATTTATCTGGTGCGTAAATACAGGTGGCGTGTAAACCAACTGTGACGAAAACATCTTATCATCGTTTAACAGCATGAATAACGTAAGACAGTCCAGCCGAGGTGGCATCATCTGTCTCCTGTGGTTTCCAGGTGCTTTTCCGGGCGCTTTTCTGGGCGCCTCTGCAGACCACCCCCCACCCCGGCCCCGCCTGCACCCGCCCCGGGATGTGTCCTCCCTCAGCTGCCTGCGGCAAGCACCCCGTCCCTGTCTCCGCAGCCCGGGGCTCCTCAAGGGGTCATCTGCAAGAATCTTCACATCCAGTGCTGTTGTAAAGACTTTGCTTTGGGGGCAGTTGCAGGATCGCAGCAAAACTACCGGGAAGGTCCAGAGCTTGTCCGCGTGCCCGCCCCTCGCGCACAGCCTGCCCACGTACCCGCCACGGTGCTGTCGGAAGCCTCATGCCAGGGATGTTTCGCCTGCTCGTCCCTCCCCCACCCCGGCAGCCCTGGATCCTTGTCCTGTCCCCACAGCTCTGCCTTTTCCCAGGGTGCCTGGCACTTAGAGTCACACAGCCTGGAGCCTTTCATACCTGGCCTTTTCCCCTGAGTTTTTGTGTGTTCTGATTATAAAAAGGCTGTTTGCTCATTGCAGAGATGTAAGTGTGTGCAGGGAGGTGTTAATTCCTACAGGAAAGCACAGATTACTGACCTGAGCAAACCCGCGGCCCGGAGGCGGTGCCGGGCGCCTGTCCGTCCATCACGGTGTGAGTGTGCAAGCCCCCACACGGCCCCACGCTGGAGCGCGTGCCACACGAGCTCTGGACCGGCCCTCTCAGGACGCGTGAGGCCCGGACGGCCGAGCCCACCTCCAGCCAAAGCGGGTCTTGTGCGTTCCCAACAGTGAATGAAAGCGCTTGTCCGACCGCAGCCTCGCAAGACGCCGTGCTCGTTCGGAGCTGTCTGGGCCTGTCCACTCAGGGAAAACGCGTCGTCGTTTAACTCGGATTTCCAGTGCGTGTGTGCTGCCAGTGCGTGATGCCTCATCATGTCGTTTTCCTGCTGAACTTGTTGTTCGTCCAGAAGTGATTTGCTAAAAAAAAAAAAAAAAAAAAAAAAAAAAGGACAGGGGCTCCTGGGGGGCTCCGTGGGTTAAGCATCTGGACTTCAGTTCAGGTCGTGATTTCACAGTCCGTTGAGTTCGAGCCCCACGTCGGGCTCTGTGCCGGCAGCTCGGAGCCTGGAGCCTGCTGTGGATTCTGTGTCTCCTCCGCTCTTTGCCCCTCTCCCATTTGCACATGTGTTCTCTTTCTCCCTCTCTCAAAAATAAACATTTGGGGCGCCTGGGTGGCTCAGTCGGTTAAGCGTCCAGACTTCGGTTCGGGTCGTGATCTCACGGTTCGTGGGTTCGAGTCCGCGTTGGGCTCTGTGCTGACAGCTCAGAGCCTGGAGCCTGCTTGGGATTCTCAAAAATAAATAAAAACATTTGGAAAAAGTTTAAAAAAGGACAAATGAGGCTTTCGTTGGCCTGCTGACCCCACACTGTTGAGCAGGTACACATGAGTAAACAGTTCCCCACCTTTCTTTTTCATAATTACATGCACGTTTAAAAGCCTGTGGTGAGCAGAAGGTGATCTGTTGCTTTGCATCCGCCTGCCAGGGGCTCCTTGACGCCTGCGGCCACACCTTCCCGGAGCCTCTCTCTGGCGGCCCACATTTTGTTGTGAACCAGGGTCTAGAATGATGGCTTGGCCGGAGAAAATTCTATGTCGGCATTTTCTTATAACCTTTGCAAAGCGGGTGTTTCTCTGTCTTTGAAGAAGTTGGCCCTTGGCCGGTGAAGCCCCTTCCTTGGGGGGCTGGGGGGGGTGTCCCTGTTCCCTCTGGCCGCTCTTCTCCTGTGACGCCAGCCTGGGTCTGAGCGGGAGTGGGCTGGTGTTACTTTAACCTGCTCAGGAATGGGATTGTTTTTTTTAATCTTAAGACTTGTGGTTTGTTGGTTTTTCCCATTCTTTGAAATTTTTAGCCATTGTTTCTTTAGATGTTCTTCCCTTCTTTCTAATCTCTTCTGGAGATCTCATTAGACCTGCTGGGAATCTCTCTCCTCTCCCCCCGCCCCCCTCCTTCCCTCCCGCTTTCTCCCTCGGTCTCTCGCCCATGTTGTCTCTTTCCCTCTCCATGTCTCTCCCTCTCTTCCCCCTCCCTCTCTCCCTTCATCTCTCTCTCTCTGTCCCTCTCCCTCCCTCGTTCTCTCTCCCTTCCCCCTCTTCCTCTATCTCTTCCCCTCCCCCTCCCCCTCCCCCTCCCTCCCTCCCGCCAGTGGATGGATTCCTGTGTCTTTTTTTTTTTTAATTTTTTTTAATGTTTATTTATTTTTGAGAAAGAGACAGAATGCAAGTAGGTTAGGGACCGAGAGAGAGGGAGACACAGGGCCCCACCCAGGCACCCCGGATTCCTGTGTCTTTGCAAGTTTACTATTTCACGTTTATTCATTCCTTTCTTTGGGTTTGTTTGATTATTCTTTTCCTGATTTCTTTAACATTTACTTTATTCTTGTTTAGTGATTGCATTTTTTAAGGTGTGAATCTTCCATCTGAGTGTCAAGGTTTTGAGGGACAGCGTCATCACTTTGATTAATGTCCAGATACTCTGCCATTATGGACTCAGGTTTTCTGTTTCACTCAAGTTGTTTAGGAGAGTTCCAGGATTTTTTCGTCATTTTCAAACGTGTTGAATTTTACTTTTGAACCTGTTCCTTTAGCAGCCTTATCATACCAACTTATTAACGTTCTTTCTAAATATATGTGTAGTTGCCAAGAACCACGATTTTTGTGTTAAAATCTTGCCCGATTCTCCTTCCCTTCCTCACCGCGTGCGCCGTCCATTTTCCCGCTGCGTCACTCGGCGTGAAATATCCAGACAGTCACAGGTCCTGCCGGTCAGGTTGTGCAGTGTCCTTTCTGATGTTCAGCGCCGTCGGGGGCAGAAAAAATGACGTTTTTAATCAGGTGTTTGGAAGGGTCGTTTCCAGAAGGAGGCAAAATATGGCTCTTGGACACCTATGAAAAAACATACAGATTTGGGGCTTTCTTGTCATTCAGCAGTGACAGCCAGCTCCAAGGAAAGGGCCAGTCTCGAGTTGCAGAATAAGGACCCTGAATTGCAAGTGGAGCTGGATCTGGTTCTTCTTCTTCTTTTAATGTTTGTTTATTTTTGAGAGAGGGAGAGAGACAGCGAGAGCAGGGGGCGGGGGTGCAGAGAGAGAGGGAGACACAGAATCCGAAGCAGGCTCCAGGCTCCGAGCCGTCAGCACAGAGCCCGACGCGGGGCTCGAACCCACAAACTGTGAGATCATGACCTGAGCCGAAGTCGGATGCCCGACCGACTGAGCCCCCCAGGCACCCCCGGATCTGGTTTTTCTAAGGGGAGGGGCTGTCGGGGAAACTGTGGGTTGACCTCGTAAAGTGCAAGCGCGCCTCAACTTGCGGGTCTGTGGGGCAGGAGGCGGGCCGTGGGCGCCGAGGCCTTGCTGCCCTCAAAGCGGTTTCCACTCCAGAGCATCTGTTTTCTTACCGTTTTTCTGCGTCGGATAAAACATAAGCTCAAACAAGGATGATTCGTGATCATAAGCACGGCTGGTTGGTCACTTGGCTGGATTATGTCCATAGGTGTAGCAAGAATGTTAATACACCGAGCCAGCTTTCCTGAGTTCACTTTGCTAGAAGTTTCCATCAGGAGTCCAGATTGGACTTTTTACAAGCTTCTCGTTTGTTGTCCTGATGAGGCCAGGAAGCCAGTAACGCACTGGTTTCATCTGCTAAATGATTTTGAGCAAATTCCTTTTACCCCAAGGTTTCAGAACTACCCTGAGGCTCCATGGCCTGCTGGAGGTGACCTTCCCAGCTCTTCGCCAGCTGTGTGCCTCGGCCCCTTAAGTCAACCGGAGTAACTTCTGGTGACCGGTCCTGACAACTAAGTGAGCATCGTGCTCAAATCCGGCCCGCACCGCCCGTGTTTCCAGTCAAGTCCCGGTAGAACGGAGCACCGATTTTCAGGGCACCGGTGCAAGTAAAGAACCGTGTTGCAGGAGGGTGTTAAGAAACAAAATTCAAGCGGGTGAATTTGTGGATCTAATTGCCTTTGTTGAGCGATTCAGGACTCAGGCAGCATCCCATGCAGCAAGGAGAGGGAGCTCAGAGGGGCTCCACAGAGTGGAAGGTTCTTACAGGAAGGACAGTGGGGGCAAGAGGTCCATTAGCGAAAGAAAAGGATTGTTTGCAGCCAGATCACCTTCCCTACCTGTGAGGGCCCGGGTCCTTTGGGGTTGGAGAGGACCCAGTGGCAAACTCCACTGACTACAGGGCTCCTGACAACCGGTTAAAGCTGCATTTCTGGGGGAGGTTGCAGCTAGGTCAGGCATAAAGCCCTGGTTTGGGCCTGTGATTTGCTTTTGAACAAAAAAAAGAAGACTGGGGCGCCCGGGGGCTCAGTAGGTTGAGCGTCCGACTCTTGGTTTCAGCTCAGGTCATGATCTCATGGTTCGTGAGTTTGAGCCCCGCTTTGGGCTCTGTGCTGACAGCAGGAGCCTGCTTGGGACTCACTCTCTCTCTCTCTCTCTCTCTCTCTCTCTCTCTCTGCTCCTCCCCTGCTCTCTCTCTCAAAACAAATAAACTTAAAAAAAGAAAAAAGTAAGACTCAACAAGAGTATCTGAGTTCTGAAGGACTTAGGGAGAGAAGAAGATGCCACTTAGAGATGTTTCACATCAGCTCACAAAAGCGGAGACCCCTGAAGCCTTACAGACTGCGGCTGGCTAAGAGGAGGGAGAACGGGCCCCGTCTAGAGCTAGGACGTCGACTGTGAAAGCGACGTATCCAGAGAAGAGCTGCCATCGCCCCTGCCCATCCCTTCCGTCCTCAGTGACCAATTCTTGATCCATTGGATTTTGGTTCCAGGTCAGAAGAGTCCACGTTCTTCTCGACTGGAGCTCTGGAAATCCTGCCTCGCGCAACTGGGAGCATCTCAGAGTGGGCCAGGCACCGCCAGCAGAAGCCTGTGCCCAGAGTACAGCGGGGCCCTCGGCCCCAGGGGGTGCCCGAAACGGCAGACAGTACCGAACACTACGCGTTGCACGTTTTTTCCTAGACGTACGCGCCCACGATAATGTTTATAAGTTAAGCGCGGTAAGAGACTAGGATAACAGCTACTAAGAAAATAGAGCAATTATAGCCATATATTGTAAATAAAGTGCTGTGACTGTGGTCTCAACACAGCCTTACCGAGCTGTCTCCCCTTTCCTGTGATGCCGTGAGACAGAGAAATGCCTGCGTGAGGAGACGGAGGAGGTGGACGCTGTGGGTGTGCGACAGTAGGTCAGGAGGGGGACCGTGGGTCTCCAGACGCGCTGACAGCGAATAACTGGGGGCGCCTGTGGCTGAGACTGCGGCCGAGACCCATGCAGCCTTTCCACAGGCTCGTGGAAGGTCCTCCCGACAACAGGCACGCTGACCTCGCTGTAGAGATTTCCCTCTTGTCTCGTTTTTCTCCTCTTCTCTCCTTATCGAAGTGCAACTTTTCGCACAGTGACCGCACCGCCTTACTTTTCCAGTGGCAGTTTGCATGGGTTCCAACTTCTCCACATCCTGGGCACCACTGACTTCCCGTCTTGTCCGTTCTGATGAGTGAGAAGCCGTAGCTCACTGTGGTTTAGAGTCTGCGTTTCCCTGACGACTAATGATGCGGACCATCTCTGCAGGGGCTCGTCGGCCATTCGTGGGTCTTCGGATTCCATGGCTTTTAAGCTCCGGGTTTAAAATCTAAAGAACACAAGTTCACTTCCGAATTCTGTCCTTCCCATGTGCTTTTATCCCCTGGAGGAAGCTGACGGAGTACTCGGGGACCCATTGCTGGAGCTCCACGGTGACAGGGCTGGTTCCTTGAGTAAACTAGATGCTAATAACATGCAATATATTCACCACCATCTTCAGACAGATGGATAATAAGCTTTTTCAAAATTTCTATTTCAGTTTCTAACACAGTAAATATCAGTGTTTACAGCTCACACACACCCCAAAACCTTGGAGTCCTCACTGAGCTTGTGTTTAGCCACGATGATTCGTGATTCTGACAAACCTTATTTGAACAGTAGTTGTGTCTCGTAGTATTGTCAGCTTAAAGATGCATTTCCGGGGCGCCTGGGTGGCGCAGTCGGTTAAGCGTCCGACTTCAGCCAGGTCACGATCTCGCGGTCCGTGGGTTTGAGCCCCGCGTCGGGCTCTGGGCTAATGGCTGATGTCAGAGCCTGTTTCCGATTCTGTGTCTCCCTCTCTCTCTGCCCCTCCCCGTTCATGCTCTGTCTCTCTCTGTCCCAAAAATAAATAAACGTTGAAAAAAAAAATTAAAAAAAAAATAAATAAAGATGCATTTCCTAGATTTTTAGGTAACTTAACCCAAGTTGAGTTAACAAATGGGTATTCTTCGGCGACCCGGATCATTTCCGAGTGAGACAGGATGCTTGCAGGATGACAGGCGGGATCTTTGAGTTTATTCATTTAACCTCCTGCTGCTTACTTTTCTGTGCTGCACAGAGAGTGCACTTTGGGACGGTTAGTGAAGGTGTTGATTTCTGCTTTGAGAAGCCGTGTCAGGCCACACGCAGCCGCGGGACGTCTTGTGTGCGCGTCACCCCCCACCGCGTGCTGCAGGAGAGAAGTGACTGGGGTAGAGGAGGAACGCGGTGTTCTTCTCGGGGTTTGTGCTTGGCGTGAGGGAGACCCAGAAATGAGGTGCACGCAGAAAGCAAACCCTTCTGGTGCGTGGCTGGCTCAGTCAGTGGAGCACGTGACTCTTGATCTCCGGGTGTGAGTTTAAGCCCCGTGTTGGGCATAGAGCTTACTTTAAAATAAAAAGGTGAAAAAGAAGGCGAAGGAGAAATAATGAGAAAGCAAATCCTTTTCCTCTCCTTGTTCTTGTTCTAGGGAAACCACCTCATCAACCCCTGCCCACTCCTGAGGCCTGGAACCAGAGTGAAGCACCTTTGGGGCAGGTGAAGCCCCACTCTGCAGCTCAGGTAATACTTATTCCTGTATCTAAGAACAGCATTTTCAGCAACTTTTTACCAATTGCTTAAGTATTGCGTTTCATTACCAAAACGTCAAAATCCAGTAGACATGATTGAAAAGGTCTCCATTTTTCAGCAGCTGAACATAGTTACCTGTGACGTCTCAGTGTGTTTCCTTCTGTTTTTTAAAGTTACAAAAATAGGGGCACCTGGGCGACTCAGTCGGTTTAAGCATCCGAGTCTTGATCTTGGCTCAGGTCATGATCTCACAGCTTGTGAGTTCGAGCCGCATGTTGGGCTCTGTGCTGACATCGGAGAGCCTGCTTGTGTGCGTGCTCGCTCACTCTCTCTCCCTCAAAAATAAGTTTAAAAAATAAAATTAAAAAAATAATAAAATAAAAATAAAGACAAAATAAACATAAAATTACAAATTACATCATATATATATTTTACTATAGCTTTACCCACCTGGGTATTATTTTTCAAATCTTCACCAATATGATGGGTTAAAAAAATTGCATCTTTGGGGCACCTGGGTGGCTCAGTCGGTTAAGCGGCCGACTTCGGCTCAGGTCACGATCTCGCGGTCCGTGAGTTCGAGCCCCGCGTCGGGCTCTGTGCTGACAGCTCAGAGCCTGGAGCCTGTTTCAGATTCTGTGTCTCCCTCTCTCTGACCCTCCCCCGTTCATGCTCTGTCTCTCTCAGTCTCAAAAATAAATAAACGTTAAAAAAAATTTTTTTAATTGCATCTTTTAAAAGTTTTTTTATATCCTTACTGGTATTAAAGTTTGTAATCTGGGGGCGCCTGGGTGGCGCAGTCGGTTAAGCGTCCGACTTCAGCCAGGTCACGATCTCACGGTCCGTGAGTTCGAGCCCCGCGTCGGGCTCTGGGCTGATGGCTCGGAGCCTGGAGCCTGTTTCCGATTCTGTGTCTCCCTCTCTCTCTGCCCCTCCCCCGTTCATGCTTTGTCTCTCTCTGTCCCAAAAATAAATAAAAATAATAATAAATAAAGTTTGTAATCTGTTTATCGGCCATTTGTATGTCTTCTTTTGTGGGTTATTTATACATGTATTTTGTTAATTTTTCTACTTGTATGTCTGTCAGTTTTTGTTTTGAGAAAGAGAGAGAGAGAGAGAGAGAGAATCCCAAGCAGGCTCCCAGCTCAGAAACCCAACTCAGGGCTCCATCTCACACCCATGAGATCACGACCTGAGCTAAAATCAAGAGTTGGATGCTCAACCGATCGAGCCACCGAGGCATCCTTGTGCTTGTTAGTTCTTAAGAGGTTTTCATCCACGACGGAACTGCTGTGTGTCTATCGTAAACCTTTGTCATATGCCATATGTCATACGTTTTCTTTTTTTTGTTTTTTAATCCACAGAGAACTTTCTTTAATGAGCTCCACCAGTGTACTTTAATGGTTTATTTCACTGGCTTTTGGCCTAGAGTGTTTTTCTCTATTTTGAGTTTCGGTAAATGTCCACCCATTTCTTCTGGCTGTTCTGTCCCACAAATTATCGTGACACCCATAAGTAGTTACCCTCCTTCTTCTCACTGACTTCGAATTGGTATTTTTAGCATGTGCTAAACATCTTGACTCTTCTGTATTTCTTAAATTAATGTTTTATTTTGAAATGATTTCAAATTTACGCAAAGTTGTGAAAATAACACATATACCCTTCACCTAGATTCACCAGTTGTTACCTCGTTACTACATTTGGTTTGTCATTCTTTCTGTTCCTTCCCTCTGCCTCCCCCACGTTTTAAACATTTTTTTTTT